GGGTTGAGGTTTGGAGAGCCTTTGTGTGCGTGAGAGGCGGGACAGGATCATCCTGCTGCGCCTGCCATCCAATGATTGGGGTTGATGGGTTTGGAAACATGGGCGGGCGACGCGCGCCGGGGCGTGGAGGGGGAGCAAGCCCGCTCTGGGGTCTGGTGACGGCGGGCGTTGGCGGCGGGGCCAAGGTCTGTTCTGTGTATCGTGGCGACCCCGTCTGCCACGTGCAGCACCACGTCGCGGCCTCGCCCTCTTCATTGTGGCGGCCACTCCACCCATCTGTGATTTGATTTTCTCCCTTTTGCGGGCGCTGCCTGCCTCCTTTCCTGCGCACCCGTCAGGGCCTGAAGGTGGTGCCGTGCGGGCAGAGCCGCACCATGATGGAGGTCATACGCACCGGCATGAAGCACAGGTGGGGGCAGCGGGGCTGGACGGCGAGGCTTGTAAAATGTTGGGCTTTTGGGCTGTCAACAGAGGTGTCAAAACTACAGGCGATGACCGAGCGAGCGAAGCGGTGGTACACCACGCGTGATCAGGTTTTTGAGTCACTGGGAGTGACACCCCGAGCTCGTGCTTGGCGTGCAGCCACTGGCTGGCGCCGTTGACCTGTGGGACCACGGGCAGAGACCCTGGAAGTGAGATTCATCCCACAAATACCCACCCACGCCTGGCTTGCTGCGCGCGCACCGCCAAACCAACCCCACCCCCAGGCGTGTGGGCAGCCACCAGCTCAACATGGAGTCCAGCCGCAGCCACAGCATCATGACAGTCTACTGCGACGCAACACCCACGGGTGGGGGGGCCGCGCGCGGGGTTTCGGGGGGTGATGGCAGCTGTAGGTTGTCCCCTGATTGGTTTGGATTTTGTATGCAGCAGCAAGCATGTGGGGCAGAAAGACGTGCCACCCTCTAAACGCGTACCTCCCGGGTGGGACGAAGCTTGTGCCGATCGTTGCCGCAATTGTGCTTGCGCTCGCCCGCCGCTTGAGGCGCCAGGCAACAACACGTCCTTGGCTGACCGCCCCTTGGCGCCGACCCTGCTGAATGCTGAGGAGCACATTATGCGTAGTACGGCACTAACCCCTCACACCACCCTTCTCTTGCACTCCCCCTGACCGCACCTCTGTTGCGCACGCGTTTGTCCTTGTGCATGACTCGTGTACCGGATGCACGCTCCCCCCCCCCAAAGACCCGTCCTGCTATGACTACGGCACCGTGCGGTACGGCAAGCTGTCGTTCGTTGACCTTGCCGGCAGCGAGAGGGTCAAGGACAGCAGGAGCGAGGGGGTGATGCTCAAGGAGACCATCAACATCAACAAGAGCCTCAGCGTGCTGGGGAAGGTGTGTGCGTGTGCGCGAGTCCTGCTTGTAACTTTTTCATGAACAATTTGGCGCGCGCGCGCGCGCGTGTGTGTGTGTGTGTGTGTGTGTGTGTGTGTGTGTGTGTGTGTGTGTGTGTGTGTGTGCATGACAAGAGGCACCACCCGGCGCCTCAGTTTCGATGCAGGCCATGCTGTAAGCTAGATCGATGCCAGTCTGGGTCGCGCCGTAGGTGACGCCCGCACACACACAACCCGCAACTCCGTGCCTTTCTGCCCTGTGAACGCGCAGGTCATCTCCACCCTGGCGGACAACGACGCCGCGGGCACCACCGCCCACGTGCCCTACCGGGACTCCAAGCTGACCAAGCTGCTCATGGACAGCCTGGGGGGCAGCGCCCTCACGCTCATGATCGCATGCTGCTCCCCCTCCAGCCTGCAGGTCAGCAGCGCGCGCGATCGGGCGCACGCGCACCACACGAGCGCCCCGCCACACGAGCGCCCCGCCACAGCGCGGCCTGCTGCCCTGCAGGCGTGCCGGCCTGCTTTCGTTGGGTGCAAGCTGGGTTATCCTATCTATTTCGTCGATGGCAATGGCCTCGCCATGCATCCGTTTGTTGGGACGTTGCCCATTTGCCCGCACCCCACTGGAAAACGTGAAAGCTCTCATTGCACTGCTGATTTCTGCGCTGACATCACCGCCCCATTGGGCTGGCCAGTCACCAGACATATCCAGGCTTGACCCACAAACTCTTGAACACTCACAACGACGTTTCTGCCTCTCCCCCCATCGGGCGCCAGGTCGAGGAGACGCTGTCTACGCTGCTGTACGCCACGCGCACCAAGAACATCCACAACCGCCCCGCGGTGCAGTACGACCCCAAGGAGGCCCAGATCAGCCTGCTGAGGCGCGAGATGGAGCTCCTGCGCCAAGAAAACGGACTGCTGCGGGAGCAGCTGCGCGCCGGCGCCGCCCACGGCGTCAGCGGCCCGGGTGCGAACTCGCCGTGGCCGGGCTCGCCGGGCGGCGGCGCGGCGCGCGCCGGCACGCCGCCGCCGCCGGCGTCGCCGCGGGCAGGGGGGCTGGAAGATCTGGCTGCGGCGGACGAGCTGGTGGCGGATCTGAGGTCTCGCAGCAGCCCGCTGCTGCTGATGCGCGCGAGCGGCGGCGACGGCAGGGCGGCTGGGGAGCAGCCGGGTGTGGCGCCGCGCATTTCGAGCACCAGCGAGCAGGGTGGGTGGTGGGCTGCGGCTTGTGCAGATCAATTCATGCTCTGTGTGTGTGTGTGAGTGTGTGTGTGTGTGTGTGTGTGTGTGTGTGTGTGTGTGTCCCACCCAACTTGTCAGATCATTGGCTGAGCTTCGTCCACTCATCAGCGGCAGCCTCTGCACCCAGCCTCATCTGCTGCCTTGCCTTGAATGCTTCCAAGGACATGCCGTGCGCTAAGAAACCGACGGCCCCCATCGCTCGTGCCCCCCCTTTCCCGCCTCAACCCCCAACCGCAGCCGGCCCCGCGCGCGCCGCCGGCGCCGTCAGCCCGGTGCCGCCCTCGCCAGGCGCGGCGGCCGCTTCGTCGGCGAGCGGCGAGATCCTGCGGCGGCTGCGGGAGACGCAGGGGCTGCTGGTCAAGTTTTCGGAGGAGAACGGGCGGCTGGCGCGGGAGAACGACAGGCTGAGGGCCGGGCGCAACGTGCTCAGCACAGGTGGGGCCGGGGGCCGGGCGTGGGAAGAGCGAGGCCAGCCGGCGGGGTAGGCGCACAGCTGAGTGGAGCAGGGGGACACACGCGGGCGGGCCCATGTGCGCTTTGCTCGTAATCTGAGTTGGTGCATTCGGGTGTGCAGGCCGCAACTCCTGCACGAAATGACAGGCGCGCATGTGAGCTTATGCACGCTCCCTGCCCGGCAGCGTGGCCCCCAGCAGTGCCTTGTTGATTCCAATAAGCGGTCATTCTCGCACCCGCCGCCCCTCCCCAAATCATCACATGCCCCACACCATCACAAACTTGAAGTCACCCATGCGAGAGCGCGCGCTCGCACGGGCACACACACACACACACACACATACACACACACACACACACAGTCTCTTTCTCTGTACACCCAATCTGTGACACACACTCTCAGACACCCACAACTACAAACACGCCCGATTTACACACATACACGCATGTTTTCACGCACGTGTCTGCACCCATATACACACATACAGAGCACGCCACCGTCCTGGACGAGATCGACCTCCTGCGCAGCAAGCTCTCGCAGCTGGAGCAATCAGTCCTCACCGCAGCAGGCGCAGAGGGCGGCGGCGGAGGCGGCGACCCCGGGGCCGACGGCGGCGGCGGCGGTGGGGGCGACCGGTCCCCGAGCACGGCGGCTACTCTAGATATGAAGGTGCTGCTGGCCAGCCTGGGGCTGGGGGTGGACGCGGTGGCAGGCAGCTTGCCTGGCATGGGCGCGGGCGGGCCGATGGGGGGGCTAGTGGGGTCTGAGGG